CAGTCAGCTTCTGTACCCCCACAGCATTTGCCCCACAAGAATGCCACGCCAAGCGCCACCAGAAGCTGTAAGGCTCAGCTCCCGCTTTGAACATTTTCTGCAAAACAATGCCTTCAGAATCATCCAAGCAGAACCTAATGCGCAGCACGGGGTTGAACCCACGATAAACTGCGTTGGTCAGGGAGTCGGCATGCACATTTTGCAGCCGTGGGGCCCATTCCAAGTCCAGCTCCAAGCTGCGATGCTGCAAGATTGCAGCTATCTCCATGACCACACATGATAATGGATAAGTGGTTTTTCACCACCTCCGGAGCACACATGCATTTCCCAGGTTGCCGGTGGAGGCTGAACGACCCTCTGCATCGTTTTCGAATACCACCAGCGCAGCCAAAGTTGCCAGCATTTCCAACGTTGCAATGGCGCAAAAAAGCTCCCCGGCCAAAAATGCCCAGAATGCATTTTGGCGGTTTAGCATGTCACTGTACCAACGGCACTCCTCAAGGTTGGTGCTGTCGAGAAAAACAGCCCCCAATCCAAATCTCTTCCCCACATGTTCGTGGCGTCGGTGCGAAGCAGCTCACGCCTTTGCAGCAAGCTGGGGCAACCCCGATGCTGCCTTGCACCACCCTCCAGCATGTAAGCAATGTACTGCAAGGAAAGCTCAACCACTTTTTTTTGGGGTTCTGGCCGCTTGCACGTGCTTCAAGGCAGCCACCCATTTGTAAATGGGACCCAGAAACGGCCGCAGGTGCTCAAGGGCTGCAAAGGCAAAACGCATGCGACCAAGCACCGACTGCATGTCTGCCAGTTTTACAACTTTCTCTTGGAGCGCATTCTGGCACCAACAATGTAACCACCTTGCATGCTTTTGGTTGATGCCAATACGGCTCGTGCAAATCCAGATGATACCCTGCCCAGTCAGCTTCTGTACCCCCACAGCATTTGCCCCACAAGAATGCCACGCCAAGCGCCACCAGAAGCTGTAAGGCTCAGCTCCCGCTTTGAACATTTTCTGCAAAACAATGCCTTCAGAATCATCCAAGCAGAACCTAATGCGCAGCACGGGGTTGAACCCACGATAAACTGCGTTGGTCAGGGAGTCGGCATGCACATTTTGCAGCCGTGGGGCCCATTCCAAGTCCAGCTCCAAGCTGCGATGCTGCAAGATTGCAGCTATCTCCATGACCACACATGATAATGGATAAGTGGTTTTTCACCACCTCCGGAGCACACATGCATTTCCCAGGTTGCCGGTGGAGGCTGAACGACCCTCTGCATCGTTTTCGAATACCACCAGCGCAGCCAAAGTTGCCAGCATTTCCAACGTTGCAATGGCGC